GTGCATTCATTGTCAGAGTGTTCTTCGATCAGAGGATGAACGTCCGGCTGGAGCAGGTACTGTAAACATAACTCTGCCATCGCACCATGGGCCTTTGAGTCCATTTCTTCCGACAATGGTTCAAAGAGGGACCAGACGAAGATCTCTTGGCCTCTCAGCTCAAAAACGCCTGGGAAGTTGTGAAGCAGAGGGTCGATTATGCCCGCAACATCAGCGCCTGTGAGTGTCGCTCGAGGATGCGCCATGGCGGTCAGAGCAACGGCGGCTTCGTGGCTCGACAGTGGTCGCAGTGTGTGTCGAAGAAGAGTGACGAGCCTATGCGCCTGGGATTGGGTCTCCTGGTCGACAAAGTCAAGCATGCTCCGGAAAACTTCATCAGGGCCAAGCGACTTTGGCCTGGCGACAAGCGCCTCGACTGTGGCCATTGTGGCGTGTTGGCTCTTGCGGAAGAGCCAGTCGAGAACAGCACAGGCGGGTTTCGTGGTCTCGCCCTTATGTTGGCAGACTAGAGCCTTGAGTTCCTCTTTGATGTGGTGGAGCACTGGCCTGTCATCCAGCACCCTTAAAATCCGGGAGTTCATAGCTGGGACCGGCACGACATCGTCAACCTCTGAAGTGGGGGTTCCCTCGCCCGCTACAGGGTCATCATCCGCTGCTGGAGGTTCTGAGGTGTTTTGAGGGATCTCAATGAGGACATCGCCATCCGTTTTCGATACCTGGTCGGCAGCTGGAGCTTCGGCATCATCCTTCTTTAATTCTTTATCAGGATGGATATCTGGGCCATCGACAACGGCATCGCCGCTCTTCTGGGTATTCCCGTCGCCGACGACAGATCCCGCAACTGCCACGTCTGGCTCTGGTACTGGGCTGGACCCTCGCACGCTGACACTCGCCTGAGAGTTGGAACTCGGACTGCGCGGACGCCACGTCGCCGCGTCTGCGGCGTTGATCCTCCAAATACCGCCAGACGGCACCTCCTCCGCCTTGAGGAAGTCGGGATCGCTACTGTCGAACAGCCACTTGTCACGGCTTTCCTTGAGACTTCCCAGTCGGATCAACTCTCTCAAAAACCAGTTGCGGGACTCCTCCTCGCACTGGTCGAAACAGCCGACGCAAAACGTGATCTTCTCCGTGTTATAGTTGTCTCGTAGCCCCATAAAGCCCTGGAAGATGTCGACCAGGTCGCTAACATTGACGTTCCTGTCAAAATCTTCCATCCCCTCCGCAGCACTGCCGACGTCAAAGCTAAAGCGGGAAATGATCATGGTGAGAAATGTTATGAGCATCGCCTTGATGTCCCTGTAACGCGCATCGGTCTTATCGAAACGGAAGTAGCATATCCAGTTCTCTCCTTTGGATGGATGATCCTTGAGGTACGTGTATATGCAGGTGAAGATGGCCTGTGACATGCCGACAGCTCGTGAAGCGCCGATGGACTGCGAGGCACTATTGTCTGCCTCTTCGACTTGATGATGCACATGCATTATGCTGAGACCTCGATTGCTTGCCAACCACTCGTTGCATGACTCATGGTCGATGAACCACGAATACAGGTCCTCGTGATAATCCCTCCCCGAGTACGGATAAATCGGAGGAGTCGATGAGAGGAGCCTCTTACTGGGTCTTGCTATGCTATCATGGATGTTTGTATCTGGTAACTGGTAAGTACACCAGCAGCAGTCTGCGACAAGGAGAATTTGGGCGGGGGCACAACTTACAAAAGGGGAGTTCATTAATTACCCTCTTGATTTCCAAGGGCCAGTCTGAGTCTCCTTTTGCTGGCTTACGGGTGATGTTCTTGTGCGATCTATAGGTGTGGCAACAAAACTCAAACGGCGTCTCGAAGACGGCCGTGAATCTGTTGAATGGGAAGGGCGAGCCAGTCTGGGAGCCCGGTCAGAGGATATTGCGCGGTCTGAAATGGCACAGGCGCTTACTGTTTCATTCTCAGTCGCGAAGTCGCGGTTGTCACGACAATACACGCTGAAAATGCTCGCGCGGAGCAGCATGTTGGTGTCGAGGAACTCGGCGTTGACCGTCCTGATATCGCGTGCCAGTTGCGACGCCTTGCGCACCAGGCCCGGGATCGTTGTGTCCGTGCTGATTAGGTCGATCAGCTCATCCTCTAGTCGCTCCAGCTCTCTGATGCGGTTGGGGACTGATAAGAAGATCAGGGTTGACGTCTCCCAAGGAATGTTGCCATATTTGGCGGCATTTGAGGCTGCGATGACAAGAGCTTTCTTGACGATGAGGCCGCCGATATCATGGCCTACGAAGACGATTGGACGGGGCTTCTATTGAAACGTTTCTGTAAGGCATGATCTTGCAAGGGGCGCTTCACACAGGTGCTCACTTACCTCTGTGTCGAGACCTTTCCTCGCCTCCACCAATTCATCCACCAATTTCTGTGCTTCCTCGTTGATGCCGTCAGGGAAGTAAATGTGAGTTGACTCCCAGTTGGTTTCGTACCAGTAGTATAGTTCCCGGACTGTCCAATAACCAAACAGATCTTCTTTTATCAGAGTTTTGTTCCACGACTCCCCTTCATCACACCATGTGGTTGCCTTGCTTCCATGGAGGCCATGCACGAGAACAACGCTGCGACGACGTTAGCTCAGCCCACACGGATAAGAGGTAGAAAAGGCGACGAACTCAAAGTCTATGCCATCTTTAAAGACGCCGCGATCCCCGTCCACGAGGCCAAAATCAGGCTCATCATACGGCACATATTCTATCGGTGCAATCTGGTCTGCCGGTGATTGTGTTCTCACGCTCTCCGGCGGCGGCGGTGTAGTGGTATCAGCTTTCCCGTCACCGTTCTCGTCGACGCTTTTGTCTTTGGCTTTCTCGCCAGATTTGATGTCGTCCATGGCGTCGCGGCTTTGAATTGACCCCGCGTCCGACCTGTCGTCGGCATGACTACCAAGCTCATCTTCCGAGTTGCTTCTCTGGGAGGCGGCATCACCGTTGGGTCCATCGTCTTCGTCTTCGTCTTCATCATCGTTTGCAGACGAGCCTTCGTCCTCCGACTCAATGACCTGGGACATCTTGCCTCTGCGTCGCTCAGTGCCGCCGCTCTCATGACTGCTGGATCGCGAGCTTTTTGGTGATGTCGCCTGCGCCATCGTTGCTGTGTGTGGTTCTGCTAAGGCTTGTTGGCCTACAGTGTGGCATGCAGCTGTCCCATGTGAAGCAGCGAAATGAGTCGCAAGTAAGACTAGATGACTTTGCAGGTGATCATGGGCTGAACTGGGTAAGCTGTCTGGCCATTGCAAGTCCAGGCCGAAGCCAGTCAGCCAAATGCGCGGGCAGGGTACACTGCAGGAAATGCAGCTGATAATTAGCCCCGCGAGCCAGCAGATGAGGGCTGACGAAGATCCCTCGTGGGGGCTGAAGGATTACACCCCCTGTCGGAGTTGAAGCCAGGTGCGGGTGTGTTCTGTATCACCGACAAGGTCGTGGGACCAAAAACGGCGCATTGCCGCTGTGAGATGAAGCACGCTTTAGTATTTAGAAATGGGACGACTCAAGTCTTCTATGAGGTGCTGTAGGATAATAGCACGATACGAGACTTTCCCTACCAACGTTACTTG